GGTTTGGCCAAGCCCAGATTGGAATACAAGGCCAGGTCCCAGGGTCTCTCTGCTTCCCACTCAACCATCTTCTGGGGGGGGTTGGTTTTTTTTTAATGTTTGTCCATTTTACAATTCTACATGAGACAGAGTCTCATGTAGCCCAGGCTAACCTTTGTAGCTGAAGATGACCTTGAACTCCTAATCCTACTACTTCTACCCCCTGGGTGCTGAGATTACAGGTTCGAGCCTCCGTACCCTGTTTATGTGGTGCTGAGGATTGAACCTCAGGCATGCTAGACAAGCATTCTATCAACCGACCCACAACTGAGCCTATGCAGAAGTGCTTTCAGGAGAGGAATCACATGATCGGACTGCAGCAAGTCAGGGTCTGGGACACCAGGAACTGCCCAGGTCTCCAAAGAGAGGCCGGGTCAGGGTGGTGGTGATGATGAAGGGAGTGTGAAGAGGGGGCCTGTGGCCAAGAGAAACTGGGATGCAGAGGACTGAAGATGTGGCCGTGGTGTCCTGTCCCTCCGCACTATATTTTAGAGAGGTGGAGGACAAGCAAGGCCTGGACAGGGCTGATTGATCTGAGGTCACTGAGTTGGCCACCTGCAGGGTGGCACTCTTGAACCTAAGCCCCGGAGGGCAGTATCCTCGTGACTGCTCAGCTGGTGCTCAGGCCTGACCCAGCCGCAGCAAAGGTATCATTTAGCACAGCTCATTCAATCCCATGGGCCTCGGGTGTCCCTCAGCAGAAAGCCGGGCCTGGGAGTCACATGGCTTGTGGCCCTCACCCCTTCCTGCCATTACAACCCCTGGCCTCAGGGTCCCCTGCGCTCAGAGACTTGGTAGGTATTCAGCTTTCCCGTGACAGGAGAGGCAGAGCATCTGGGGACACTCCCCAGTCACTAGCAAGCCCTGAATCCTGCCGTGGGTGGCAGTGTTATAGGAAGAGGTGGGGGGCATCTGGAAGACCCCAGTAAGAGTTGAGGGCACTCACTCACTGCCTGGAACTCTGGATTCTAGGGTGGCACCTGGAAATAACAAGCTCCTTCTATATGTTTGCAGAATGAATGAGTGAATGAATGAATGAATGAATGAATGTGAATATATGTATATGTGTATGCATGTGTGAATGTGTGTATGCGTGTATGAGTATGTGTATTCGTGTGTGTGGATATGTCTGTGTTGTTGTCGTTTTTCTGACATACTCCCAAGTCATTTGTGTAGCCAAGCCACCCCTGACCACCACCCTTCCTGCAAAGCTCCCCACCCCTTTAGTTCTTCATCCTCCTGGCTTGTCGCCTGGCTGTCACCGTGTGTACAGTTTGATGCTGTCTGTGCCCTGCGAGGGCAGGGTCTTGTTGGTTGGCCCCCAAAGGAAGATGATCCGCTTCCAGTGAAGAGATGGGAGCCTGCCCAGCTGCCGTATGGACTTGTTCATGAGGCGCTAATCTCTCGGCCCCACGGTCCCTGGGCAGCTTTCCCTTCATAGCATTGTCTTTGCAGCTGCCCCAGACAGAGCAGGAACTCTGAGTTGACGCTTCCATCTGTGGAGGGGGAGGTGAGGTCACCCGGTTTCCACCCCCGCTGCTCCCATCAAGCCTCGAGCCTCAAGTTCAAAGAGACCACAGCCTGGATGTGACTTTGTGGTTTTGGGTAGGGCAGGGCCTGGGCAGGTCATGGTGTCTTCCAAAAAAATGTTCTCAGGTAGAAGAAAAGGAAGGGGTGAGGAGGGTTTCCTTCAATGAGAGAATAGTGACAGTACGTGCTATTTTCTAAAGCAGTGTAAATGACTGTTCAGCTTGCTGGTGAAGCCTGTTTGAACAGCATGGAAACACACAGAAGGAGCTGGGGGCCTAACACTCCCCTGCCAGGGACCTGTGGATGCTCAGGAGCCCAGGTAGAGGTGAGGCGGCCTGTGTGCGTCTTAGCTCTGGCTTGGGTCCCTACCTCTGTGAAATAGAGACACAGTCGACCGTACCCCTGCCCATTTCTCTACAGTCTCCTTGCCTCCTTTCTTTCCCCTCAAACCAGAGAGTGACCCCTTGAAGGAGCCATGTCTTGCTTGCTGCTCTCTGCCCTCTCCACACTGTCCAATAGCACAGCCAGACCATGATCTGTCTGAACTTGTGTCTTCAGACTTGCTCAGAATCTGTCACCTGGAATTGTTGGGAAGGCCAGATGAGTGAATATATGGAGTGTCTTACAAACTGCCTGGCAGAGGGTGAGGCTGGTCTGTGATTACTAGTGTGGCAGACCTCATTGTCATCAGCACGGCAGATTTTCTAATGGATGGCTTCTTATACACCAATCATCTTCTTCCCTTCCCTCTTTCTCCTCCATCTGTCCACTTGTCCCCTTGTTCATCTGTCCACTGGTCCATCCATCCGTCCTTCCATCTGTCCAGTCCTCCTCAGTGGAAGCATGTGCACTTAGGGAGAGCTCACTTTGTATTCCTCACTCTGTTTCATGGAAAATGAACATGTTTCTGCCACTAGATAGGTTTAGACAAAATTACTGGGGTCCTGGTTCTCCTGGTATGGGGAAGAGGTGGTGTAAAGGCCACTCCTTAAGGACTGTTTTGCTGGTTTCTGTAGCTGGAGGGTAAACTGAGGCTTAGCCTTGATGCCTATGGGTATAATGTCCTGGAACTCACTCTGTAGATCAAGCTGGCCTTGAGCTCACAGAGACCCACCTGCCTCTGCCTCCTGGGTGCTGGAATTAAAGGAATGTGCCACCACTGCCCAGTGTACAGCAAACTTTTAAGGTCTGAAATATTACACTTAGATGGGCTGACAGAAAGGAAGATCATTCTGGAAAGAGAATCAAGTAAAATTTATGCCACTTTTGTTTGTTTGTTTCCTGGCTTTGTAACCAGGCTAGAGGTTCTTGGGGGGGAGGTTCCTCTATGGGGCTAACAAGTAGCCCACCTTCAGGGAACATCTCTCCTACCTGTCTTTGTTGTCCCCTGCCTGTGGACAGGATTCTTGGTTGTTGTTTGCTGCTTGGGAGGCATGCCCTGTGGCCCACACCCAGCCTTCTCCATCCATCGAACCAAGACACCATCTCTTTGGTTACTCAGGCCCAAACCCTGAGCCCATCCTCGCGTTCTTGCTCCTGTGCCGCCTCCAGACAGATGTCACCACCTGCACTGTCAGTGACATCCCAGGGCAAGGCACCATCGCCGCTGCCCAGAGGATGCAGAGCCTGTAACCCTCTATGTCACATGACTCCCTCTTGCCTCTGGGAGTTGTCTTTTTCCCTGACCATTAAGTCCTCCGAACAGGGAGCCTGGTCTCTCCTGCATCTCCTAGGGTGCCGAGCATGCCGGAGCCCAGCCACATCAGTGTGTGAGCACAGGGTATCCCAGGAACCATCACACCACAGTTCAGAACCTGCCTTCTGAGCTCAGACAAGAGTTTTTCTATATGGATTTCTTCCTTCTTCCCTTCCTGCCTGCCTGCCTGCCTTCCTCTTAAAATAGTGAATTTTATTAAACACTGACAGTATTTCATGAAGAAACAAAATCAAAGGCCAGAGGTGTGGCCTGCTTGATAAAGTGCTTGCTTAGCCTGCACAAGGCCCTGGGTTTGAGCCCAAGCACCTCATAAAATGGGTGTTGTGGTAGTGAATGCCTACAATGACACCAGGAGGGAGGGGGTTCAAGGTCACCCTTGAACTGGCCTTTCAGGAAGAAGGAAGGAAGTCAAATTAGAAAACCATGTCACTCTTCTCTGTGTGAATGTGTCTGTCTCTCTCAAACACACAGATACACATACATGATCAGAAGAACATACATCAAAATTAACAAACATGGTCTATGTGACTAATTTTCTTCATGTTTCCCCATAGGTCATCTTCAACGTCAAAGAAATAAATTTCCTTGAATAAGAAAACAATATTCAGTCAGGTGGTGGTAGCTCACACCTTTAATCTCAGCACTTGGGAGGCTGAGGCAGGCGGATCTCTGTGAGTCCGAGGTCTGGTCTACATAGTTAGTTCTAGGACAGGCTCCAAAGAAATACAGAAACCCTGTCTTGAGGGGGAGGAGGAGAAAACAATATTTGTGGCAGTGCATGAGTAGCTTTGTGTAGCTCATAGTCACCCGGCAGCATCTCTGGTCCTAGCTTCGCCTATGGGAAGGTTGGGAAAGAGAGCAGAGAAAACCTCCATGCTCTGCAATCACACGGGGACGATTCAGGCCCACCATGGGGATGAAAGACATGTAAGTGAAGCCAGGGATGGTGGCTAACACTCTGAGGCCCTGATCGAGTCCCCTCCCCTGTGGCTGGTCAGGGCTATCACCCACTCCCTGGTACCCTTTGAATTCTGGGCACCAAGGCTTCGCCGTGTGGTGTGTAGGTCAGGTGGAGTTGTGCCAGGCAGCCCTGCCACTCACTAGCAGTGTGATTGGAGGACCCGAATAGTCTCCAGCACATCTCTTAGACAAGTCGAACTCTCCCACTGCTCCTAACGCTCACCCCATGGGTCTTCCTGTTACATGGAGTAAACGGAGTCATGCAGGGCTCAAGTTATCCCATCAGTGGATCTGTGTGTCAGGGCTAGGATTTGAACTGCACAATTCTCATCCACTGAGCTGACCCTGAAGACTGGATTGCCACACATAGGAGACAGGATCTACAAACTGCTTAGCTAGTGCCTGGCACAGAGCCCTTAGAAAGGTTGTCACAGTGTGAGTTCAGGCATGAGAGCCTGAGTGAGATGGCTAGACCCTCTGAGTTTCCTGTTGGCAGCTGAACCTGGCTATTCCCAGGGCCCCTTCCCACTCCACAGAGAACTTCAGACACCTCCCTCCCAGCCTCCTAGATTGACAGCCCATGACTTAGGTGACTGGGCGTGGAGCCAGGAGGTGGGGACCAGGCTCAGGCAGGCTCCCCAGGTTGCAGCGTGAAATTAAAAGGGAGGAGAGAGCACCAACCCATTAGAACGCACGCTCTGACCCGGCAGCCAGGTGTCCCCAACAAGAGCTGGGGATCCGGGGAGGCAGCCGGGGCTCGTGGCTGCTGGGCACCTGAGCTAGCCCGACCAAAAGGCTGGGATCTGAGCACAGTATGGCCTCCCAGAGAGCTGTGAAGCTATCTCTGAAGAAGTCCACTCATGCCGTGTGTGTGGTAGGTGTGGAGACGCTGGTGGATGTCTACAGGTAAGGCATCCTGTGTTTAGGTGGGGGATCCCTGGGTCAAAGGGTATGCAGGAGGGTGTAGGCAGGATGGTGTTCTGAGGCCAGAGAAGGTACAGCTGGCTTCCAAGCGTGGGATGGAAGGGGACAGAATTTGCCCAGGTACTCTGGGGTCAGGACATTGGGTCCAGTCCCTGGATGAGGGTGACCTCAGAAGATTACGCTGAGTCCTGGCCCAAGCACTGTCTGGGTTCTACATGCCAGTTTTCAAATGCAGCGGCAGAAGGAGCTGGGGCTCAAGCCAGGGAAGAGGGTTGGGCCCCCCCTTCTCCCTCCGTCTTGCCAATTTTCCACCTCTCTGTGGTTAGGGGTGTGCATGTGACATCTTGACCCTTGGAGGCCAGCCAGGAAAACCAGAGTGACTGGGATTAAGAGGGAGTGGCCAAGGGACAACTCAATGACTTAATTTAGGAAATGATCCTGGAACAAAGCCTGGGACTTGGGCTGGCAAGAGATGATGATGGTGATGGTGGATGATGTTGACTGTTGGAGCAGCCTTGATGGTGGTTGTGGTAGTGTCATTAGGGACATCTGAATAGGACAGCCATGACATCAGTTTCCTTCATCTACCTGAATCTTCCCTTTCCTGATCTGCTTAGACAGGGATGCCAAGACCCAGGACAGCCCCAGTTCTTTGCCTGGCTTGTGGGGAAGTTGGCTATGGTGATGTCTGGGGCTTCTGGATCTCTAGGTGGGGTCTCTTCCATAGGGAGCTGAGGGCTAGGGATTCCCAGGTGCCATCTGAACTCAGATTCCCTCTTGGGGCTCAGTCCCTGTGTTCACCCAATGCTATATTTTATGCCTACTTGGATACCACTGATGCCTTGTCTAACTGTCCCCTCCCAAGTAGTGACGTAGGACCCCTGATGACAGGGATGGGGAGGAACAGACAGGAGATCTGGAAGGCAGACCTTGAGTACCTACTGCTGGGACAGGAGGTCAGGCTGTTCTCATCAGACCTATTGGCTAGTGGGAGCATATCCACTTCTGTCCATTTAGCATAGAATTCAAGATTTAATGAATAGAGAGTCCATTAAGTGGAGCTGGAGGGAGGGGAAGGAAAGAGAGACACATAGAGAGAACTTTTTGCTACTTCCCAGGGCCTCACACATGCTGGGCAAATGCTTTACTCTGGAGCCAGCACCCGGTACATTTTCAGCGATGGCATGGGGCATGTGTATCCTGCACCCTGCAGTTTAGCTGAAGCTCAACTGAGACCAGCCTTCCTGTACTGCATCTGGCAGTCCTGATTTGACACTGATGCCCATAGGTCCCACTGCCGATCCCAGGCCCCTGCTCTCACCTGGGGACAAGGTTGTTTCTAGAAGGTTCTATTAAAGCTCAGCCTTGTGTTACTCCACAGTACTTAGCAGAGAGCCAGGTCTGCCTTCTGTTACCACCTTATCCCGGGGTCCTCCTGGCCATGAACCTTGATTGGATACCCTGAGCCCCCTTTGAAGCTTAGCATGGAGGTTATACATACAACTAATGCATCCTGGTCCTGCTGGTCCCTGGCTGTGTGACCTTGGGCATGCCACTGCACTTCTGAGAGCCTGCCTCTGCCTCTGAGGGTCAGTGGAAATGTAGCAGTACCATCATCATGGGTCAGGGGTAAATGAGACATGCATGTGCAGGATTTCCATGGTAGGTGCCTGGTAGGCTGTGCCAGCTGTGGACACCCCCACTTCTGTTCTTCCCAATGCTCCTCAGAGGTGGGAGGGGACAAGGACAAGGTGAGGTATGTGGTGGGAACACCAACCCCTTAGCATCCTTCAGCGTGATGGGCCCAGATTAAAGCAGACAAAGCTCCTTTGGCTGTGGTGTCCCTTGGCTGGCTCTAGGAGGGACTGAAGTGTCACTCTGTACCATGAATGGTGGCTAGCGTCACAGCTACCCAGAGTTTACAGGGGAGCACAGGAGTTTGCTGTGTGACACTGAGGAGGGTCCTCCTGCCCAGTGCCTTGGATGGACAAGGCAGTAAAGCTTGCAGGAGCCTGGGGCTCCCCGGGGCCCGGGTGGGAGCCAGGCCACACTTGATGATGAGTGATGAACTTGGGGCCCCACCAGCCCTTTGCTTGGTGACTAGCTCCAGCTGGGGCCAACCAAGGGGCTTAGAACTGGTCTTGTTTGCTGATAAGCCTGGGGAAGGTTCCCCCAAGTGGTTGGTGTGCCAGTCACCTCAGCTGCCCAGGGTTTGAGCCTCCAGGTGATGGCACTTAAGGTGACATCAGAGGAAGTGATTAATTCCCCAGGGGCTGCATGGCTTGGCCATTTGGAAAAATGTTTATGTGGGGGGTTAATTGTGTGCCATGGGGTACCAGACTCAGCAGGTGCTGTAGACCACCCCAATTGGGCTAGCTCAGCACCCTTACCCTAATATCCCCATGAGCTATCTCAGTACCTCGATGCCTATTCCCCAGCAAGCTGTGCCTTCCATCCCCAATTGCCTACTTCGGCACCCTGACCTCCTCACCCCATTGGGCTACTCCAACACTCACCTCCCTTTCAGCAAAGCAAAGCAAGGTCGTCGGGTCCCTATAGCTCAAGTTTGGGATGAAGAAATATGGAGCACTGTGAGCCTCTCAGATGAGCCACAGGGAGGACCATGCCTGATCATCTCCTGGGCTTCCTGAATTCCAAAACCAACAATGCCCTGCAGTGTGTCTGTGTGTCTGTCTGTTTCCTGCAGTGTGTCTGTCTGGCTGTTTCTAGTGCCATGTGGATAGTGTTCTCAGCACTCATGGGCCTATGGGGATGCTGGGCTGGTCTGCCAGGGAAATAATTATAGGATTGATGGGATCCTAATTCGAGTGACGGACAGGCTGTAGGCGCCACTGAGACCAGCCTGTCCTTGCACCTAAAGAAGGAAGAGTGATCTTATTTGGAGGTCATGTTCAAATGCTTGCATTCTTGTTCCCAGACTATATGAGGTCATTGAGAGGAGTTTCGGGTTTCATGGTGACCTGAGGGCCATCAGATGTGGGACAGCAAGTGGACAGTGGGCATCCCCTCTGCATAGAGCGCTGGCATCAGGCAGGATGAGTGACACACTTGTTGTTCCACCAGCTAGGTGGTGGAAGCAGGGGGATTGCAACCCAAAGGCCAGCCTGGGCAACGGAGTAAGGCCCTGTCTCAAAAAGTAAAAAGAGCCCTGGGGTGTAGCTCGGTATACAGTGCTTGCCTGGTGTGCAGCAGCCCTTGCTTTAATCCTCAGCTCTGTCAAAATGGAAGACCTAATATTGGTTGGCCTCAGAGCTCCCTTCCTTCCGTTCACAGACACAGTTCCTCAGCACCAGCTGCCACCAGCTGCTGAGCTGGCTGGGGATGCATCCCTCGGGCCTCTCCTTTCTGTCACTTGGGTTCTGGTGTGTGAATTGTTCCTTCGGTCCTCTCCTCCTGGGTTCTCAGCAGCCTCGCATTCAAGCCCTGGTCCTGCTTTCTCCTCCCTGGACCCAAATCCTTCTGCTCACTTGGGGCCAAGGCAGGGAAGGGCTGTGGCCAACCGGGCCCAGTGCTTGCTGACTTGAGCAGCAGAGCTGGATGGGGATGGCGGCCTAGGTCACCTACCCTTGGGATGCATCCTTTTGTCCAGTGTCCCCTGTACCTGTGGGCCTGCCCCCACCCCAGGATGTGTGGGATAGGGACATGCCAAACTGGATAAGGATGCTAGACATCTGGATGGAACCCAGTTACAAGAGGGAACGGCCAGGATTCCAAAGCACCCAAGTCTGAGGCTGATACTGAGACTTGTGGACACAGGCAATCCTGGCCTTGTAGAAAAGACAGATTTGTTTGGGCCTCCAAGTGCACCCTGGGCCCCAGAGCAGAACCCCGGTCATTCTGTGTTTATCATTCAAGGCCACTGGAAACAACTAGCAAGTGCTTCCAACAAGCCCTGGACCAAACTTCCTGGCTTAGGTCTCCGGCATAATGCTATTTAGTCTGGACAGAAGAGAGGTCACAGCTCCACAGGGAACTCTGCAGAAGGGCAACAAGCAGGCTGTGAGCCAAGTTGGCCACCAAGGCTCTGGACATGGATGAGTGTGGGCCCAACCTCTGGGCCTAGTGAGGAGAGAGGAGGGCTAAATCCTCCCCTACCCCACCCTACCAATACTCACCTGGTTGCACGATACAGGAGGAAGTGCCCAGAGGTGGCCAATTTGGTGGCTCCTCAGAACAGAATAGCCAAGGGATCGTACTGGTCCTTGCAGGCTGTGTGACCTTGGGCCAGTCACTTAGCCCCTCTGAGCTTGCTTTCTCTCAGGCTAGCCAGGTGGGGGTGACATCACCTATTGTGTGCCTGTGCAGTTGGCACCTTATTCTCCCATTTAACTAGTGAGGAATTTCATCACCCACAGGCCTCAGATCTACTTTGGTGAGAGGAACATGACTCACTGCACTAACTTTAAAGCAGGGCCCTTTCTCTTGGGGCACTTTGGTTCCAGGCTCTAGTCTTCCTCTGCTTCGAAGAACAAGGAGTGGCAGCTGCCCCCTGGGCCCCTCTGTCCACACTGTGGGGAGGCCTGCCTGTCTCCGGCCACCCTCCTGGGCTTGCTAGGCAGCCTGCACCGAACAATGACAGGGTGTTGCAAGGTACCCATGAGCCACTGATCTCTATCTTTGGGAGGGAGAGGTCACAGACGCGCCCAATATGGTGGAGACCTTAAGGAAAAGTATCCATATGGTGCCGAGCCAGCCATGGCCTTTCGTGACCCCTGCCAACTGCAAATGGCTAAATGGGGGCAAAGGGATAAAGCCAAGGCTGGCTGGTGTCTGAGTGGCACTTCCCTCCTGCATACTCCCTCCACCTGGTTGAAGAGTCCCCTGCTATTGCCCCCCTTCCCCCCCCCATGCCATCACTCAGCACACACTCAGGCCTGCTTTGCTGGGCTCTGGTACATTGAGTCCACCTGGCCTGTGCTGGCTGTGGGGAACTCACTGAGAGACAGGGTGCTGGATGCTTT